TCGATGGCTGGCTGACAGGCCCCAGTCACCGACCAGTCACTCCGCCTCCGCTGGGAATTAGGTGGGTATCGCCCTTGGCTCAAGAGGGTGCACATCTTGACCTTCACGGATTTTCATCTCCTCCAACTCTCATTCTCCCCCTCCCCCCCTTCTTTGACGACGATCCTATGAATGCCTGTTCAGTAGACTAAGCCTGACCCTGCTCATCCACAGCTGAACGCTTGCTTAGATGACCGACAGACTACACCCCCGTTCGCCACGATTCGCCCACCCTACACCATCCACGTGTTGAGCAAGGTTGAGGCATGTGGCACTCTGATTCAGCAACCGTCGCTCGCTTCAACGGGATTCGCGAATTCGCAAACACGCAATCCGCCTGGGAGCTGCCCAATCTGTCCGCCCGCAGAGGAGCGTGTGACGACCCTCAGCCCTCTTCGAGTCCCTGGTCGCCGGATGTGGCAGCGGTGTGGATAAGAACTCGGTGGGGCTTTAAATTGCTGGAAGTCGAGGCTCGCTGGACTTTTGGGCGGTCTGGGCCTGTGGTCCGCGATGTTCCAGCGCCTCCGACGAAATGTGAGTCGACTTCTGTTGGTTGATACAGCATGCGTGTTGCACGACAGAGAGACACACACCCCTCTATCCTCCAAGGTGGGTGGAGTTTGAGCTATCCCCTCGTGCATGTGCGCAGATATTGTCAGAAAAGAGAGAGTGCGATGGGCAAGTTGGGCGAAAAAGAACAATGTATGCTGCATCCTCATCAACTGGTGATGGGTGGGAGGGTTCTGCTGAAAAGAACTCTCCCTCCCTCTTTTGCGCCGATGTATGCGCTTCTGCTCTTGACTCGCTTCAAGTCAAATCACCGTTCCGTCTTTTCTTTCTCGTCTTTGCTTCCAGAAGCACTGGCAGCCCTTCGCCCGGTGCCTTTGATACCTACCCACCTTACTGTTGACTGAATCACAGCCTTGCTCTTGGCTTTTTCGGTGTTCTATCTCTGCGGCAGCCTAGCGGGGGTTAAGATGTCTCTGCCTCCGCGGACACTTCTACCGTCCCTCGTCATCCTCTTACTCTTTAGTGCTCTCGCCTGTGCTGCGAAAGAAGGTCAGGCCGGGGGCGAGAGTGCCTGTACCAGTGAAGGTTCCACGGAACAGGGATGTCCCATCTCGGGCAATTCCGATTACTATGGCTTGGGTGTTAGGATGGGTATCTGTACGTGTCGACGCCGTTGACTTCACGTTTTTGATCAGCTAACACTCTGGACGATTTGCAGACTCTCAATGGATGACGTCCTGGATCGCGAACAACTTCCTGTGTGAAGAGATCATCGGTTCCCTCGAAACGAATTCGATTTTCCTCCTGGCATTGTTTTCGACTGTGTTTTTTTACTCGGTACAGAAGGATCAGATCCGCGTGGTGGATGTGCTGGTGATCCATCAGATGTGCGTTGGATTTTTGTTCAGTATCATGAGTCTTTGGGGATATCGGACGAGTAAGTCTCCTTTCGCCTCTACAGTAGCTTTGGCGTTCGAGTCGGGGCTTGGACCTATAGTCCTAAGAGTCGCTCGACTAGCCTGTCTGATGAAGCGTCGTGCGATCACGGTAATTTCGTGATTATCGACTTGCCCAGGTCTAATATTCCGCGTGGCCGGCTTTTGCCGTTGGGAGTAACATAGCTAACCATTCGTCTTTGCCACAGTGTACTACAAAACCGAAGGACCTGGTGGACGCCGCCATTTTGGCGGCTTTGGCACCCATTTTCGCCTCATCCTCATGAGCATGATCACCCTCTACGGTGTCTGGTTTTGGGCCAAAGGGATCGATGCCTTATCACCGTGCGATCGCCGAACAGCCTGCGGCGGCCTCCAATTGTCTTTTTTCGGGCCCCTGAGGGTTGAGTCCTGGTTGACCAGGGGCATTAACCTAGCTATGGCGATCGCGGCGGCGTTGTACTATGCTGTCATGGCGATTGTGGCCGGTATTACAGGCGTTGTGTATGTAATGAGGAAATGGAGGAGGGAGGTGGACAACTGGGAGTTGATCGAGCACCCGGACGCGGATGTTTCGCTCAACAAGAGAGAGTGAGTGGCATTCTGGAGCTCATCGAGATTAGACCACCTTTCCACCCGAGAACCTTTCGCTAACCAGCACGACAACAGGCTGACCATCTGGTATATTTGCCTTTCTTCTTTCAATATGTTCTGGATTGTGTCCGCCATCATCAATATCGAGTTGACCCTCAGCTTGAATCACATGAGCAACGTTCTAGGGAGATCTGCAGTCGTGGGAGCTGGTCAGTTGATCCCGCTAGCCATAGGAATGATCAGTCTTGTGCGGGTCCTTTATGTGCTTGCACAGACGCGTGCCCCCTGGCTACGAAAGAAAGATAATGATGATTGCTGCCCGCGTTCTGGCGGTGATGGTGATGAGAAAGCCATGAGCGGATTGGGTCTCAGCCCCTATTCACCTGCTCCTCAAAAGAAACGGACTGAAGATGCCGAAAAGTTTGCGGTGTTGGCGACAATGAAACGACCCGCAACTCTCCCTATTCTACCCGCAAGCATCAGGCGTTCAGAGAAACGCACCCTCACGCACCGCATCCTCCTTGCCTGGCTACCCTGGCTGAATATATTCGAGTGGTCGAAAGAATCCCTGACACCCCAACTATTCCGCGAATCAATGATTTTCGGCAACCACAGTGCCAAAGAAAAAGATTCAGAAGTCGGCTTTGAAGTCGTCGGGGTGAGCAAAATGCATCTGGAGGCGCGAGATTCCCGACAGCGAATGGGACACAATCGCGAAGAAAGTGCTGCCACAGACGAAAGTTCTACTGCCGCTCTTCTGAACTCGCCCCCACGACTGCTACCAGGACAGAGAGGGCTGCTGGCGCCGATGGGCAACGACGAGGTGGAGATGGCGGACCGGAGATCATCAATATCGGACCCCAATTCTCTGGCCGCCGGTATTTACGATGGTGATGGGTATGATGAATACCTGAGCCACTGATGATTAGCAAAGGGGGTCTTGAAGAAGACAGTCAAGACATCAAGGGCTTTTGGTTGTGTTAGAGGTGCGTACTTAAAGAAAGGTTGAATATCTGGGCAGGGTTTGGGGTTGCATTTTTGGGCGGACCTCTATGGCTGTGAAGAGCGGGAAATTATGATAGGAATCTTTGAGAAAGATTTCATGGACAACAGGACAACAGCAGCACGGACAAACAGCGAGGAGGAACAGTTTCTTGTTTTTCAATATCAAACATGGCTGGAATGCATATACACAGCGCACATAGCATCACGTCCTGCCTCTGCCTTATTGTGTGGGTCACCAATATTCCGGTGGAAAAAGCAATCATTTATCCGCATTTCCCCAGGCTTTCCTTGTTGGATTTTCGAAGCGCTAGTGTTCATACACTTATTCATTGAAGCAATCAAAAACGAGGCGTTGATGGATGATTACGACTGGTTATGATCACTAGCTTCGCCTATCTAGGAACCATGAATCATCACTGAATTGCCCCCCTTATTGCTGTGCACCACGAGGTTCAGTCTGTTTTTTCCCCTTGGCTGATTTCGATATCTTGAGTGACCTCTGGCACTCAGAAAGCCGAGCATAGCCATTTCGCAATGGGGTAAACCGTTACCTATCCTTAGCCCTCTCGTCGTCCCTGGTCCATTCGCTGTGAGAAAAATACCAAGACAAACACACGCAAACTCCCAACGACATGGGGGAGCTCGTATTCTCCCTTGCACCTTGCAGAATCTCTCACAAGTCACCCCCAGTCCGTCTCCATGTATCGCTAAGAAGCATATTTTCACGACAATAGCCTCTAAATGAGCCACATCGTGCTCTGTTAAAGCTGATGACAAGATATTTGAAATATACAGGATGTCGCCTTGGTCACAACTTTCACTGCCCACGCTGATGGGAAACATAGCATCGAAGAATAGTTGTCAGCTGATTCTGGTGGCACAACAACCAAGACGCAGATGTTGCGGATAGCCCTCGAGCCCTACTGAGGTTGGAGCCTCTTGATGTGGCCTCACCCACCTAAGCCCTGGGTCTTACTGCCCTCGAGTGGGATTATTCCAGCCAAGAACCAACCTCTCTCGACGAGAGGAAATCTACAAGGCTCCCTGTCTAAGTTAGTGGTCATCACTTGACCACTATCCAGGACACGGCCCCCAGTGCCACGTTGCGTAGGAGCCACCTATACTCGGCCAACCTGGCTACCGGCTGACAGCTGTGGTCTGGCGTCAGCAAAACCGAATCAAAGCCGCCAGGTGTTGGACTGTCTGGGCCGGATGCCTCAAGATGCGCTCTACTCGGTACCAGGCTCGGTAGAGTGTGCAGATGTCAGGCAAGTGGAGAACCTCCGCATTTTGCTGCAACCAGCTGGAGCACATGCGCCCCGGATTCTCCACCTTTGGCCTGGCTTTGTTCCTTGAGTAATATCCACCCAGGCATGGCGGAGGGAATCTCAGCTTCTGGTTAGGAGCCTGTACCAAGTACGCAAGGCTCTTCCGGCTTGTCCATTAGTGGATCATCATCAATCCAGATCCAAACAAAATCGCCTCTTCGGCGCCACTGAAGACTGACTAAACTTCAACCGTCCTATACCAGCGAGCCTTTCTGGCTTTCGTCCCTTGGCAGCTCTTGGGTAACGGCCCAAAGATCACAGATGACTCGAGCTCGTGTCTCTCTGCGGCAAGTCCGTAGAACCAACTCGATCGAGAAATGTGGAGGAGTCAAGGGCATGGAGAAGTTGGGGCAATCAATCTCAGATTGTTTACTGCTTCGCTTGGAGGTTTGATCCCACAAAACGTGCGGATCTCGCCTCCAGCATATAACCTCCCTCATCCCTCAAGTCCAGAGGCCACGGGAGCTCTCTGCGTCCTTCTACTCACTGCGCTGTGGTTGCCATCCTGCTGCTGGAACAGCGCCTCATCGTCTTGAACATTGTCCTCCTAATTTATACTCAGAGATCTCTTATATCACCGGTAGATAAAATGGGACTCGGTGTCTTAGAAGGTTAGTGTTTAATGCTTGCGCTTCTCTGCTTCACCGCCACATTGTACCGCTCTTTTTCACAACGTCCTCGACCCTGAGACTGATCATTCTTCGCGGCAGATACCAAACTTCCGCACGTGCCTGGTACTGTCCTCTTGAACGACGAGGCTGCCCATGCAGAAGCTCAAACGGCGAATCTCAAGCATGGAACGGGCAAAAACTCGCACATTGTGCTTTCTCCGCAACCCAGCGATGATCCAAATGATCCGCTCAATTGGTCTCTTGTGAAGAAAGAGGCCATTATTTGGATTCTCTGCTTTGGTGCCATGTTGAACGCGGCAACGAATGTGTGCTTCCAGCACCATTGGTGGTAGAACTATGCGTTTTGCTAACTGTGTAATAGGGTCCTTTCTTGAACGCCTCATACTTCGCTATCGCCCAAGAAATCAAAACGGATCTCACGACCACCGTCATGGTGTCAGGCTACAACATCCTCGCTGCTGGCTGCGCTGGCCCCTTTGTATGTGCATTCAGCCGCAGATACGGCAAACGCCCCGTATTCGTTGTGTCCACTCTCATCTGCATCATCGGGACCGCAATCGGCGAGTCAAAAATAAGCTACAACTATCTCCTTGCGGCTCGGATTGTACAGGGTTTCTCGACTAGCGCGTTTGAATCCCTCATTGTTGCCGCCGTCGGAGATCTCTATTGTGTGCATCAACGAGGCCTACGAATCTCAACAATCAACTTTATCCTGAACTCGGCCTCCAGCTTGGCCTCGATCATCTGCGGCCAAGTGTTCAACGACTTGGGCCTCCTCTGGCTTTTCCACCTCTTTCAAATCTTTTTGGTGGTCCAGTTCGTGCTCATGTTCTTCTTCGTCCCTGAGACGACGTACCGCCGCGAGTCCATCTACGAGACCGACATCGTCAAGGTCGAGACATTCGAGCAGATAGAGAAGGCCCACGAAGAGCACCGTGAACACGCCATTGCCGTCAAGGAACTGAACGAACCCGCCTCGGCTTCCTCCGGACTCCCTGCAAAGAAGACGTTTATCCAGGAACTCAAGCTCTACAACGGTATCTTCTCCCACGACAACATTCTCAAGTGGATCTTTGGCATGTTCCTCACCCTGCTCAACCCAGCTGGGTGCTACTCCATCATCGTCTCGGGTCTTCTTTGCGCTTGGTACGTCGGCTCAGCCATCATCTTGGCCGGCATCTTCGCGGGCCCGCCCTGGCTGTTCGATCCCGCGCAGATCGGGTATATTGGAGCAGGGCCTTTCATCGGCGGCATGATCGGGTCCATAATCGTGGCATTGACCGGAGATCGGGTGGTCAAATGGATGACGATCAAGAACAAGGGGACTTAGTAAGTTTTCCACTCTTCTTGTCCAGCGAGGGAAGGAAGCCATTTTCTCAACGACGAAAATAACAACAAAACAGCGAGCCTGAATTCCGTCTGGTGTTTATGCTTCCCTGCGCGGTTTTCGCAGGCTTCGGCATGTTCTTCTTCGGCTACACCATGGCCCACGGCTCCAACGCCGTCCTCTGCGCCTTCTGCCAAGGGTTGATGATGGTCGGCGTCCTCATTGGCGTATGGTCGACCATGTCCTATGGCCTGGACGCCTTCCGTAGCCAGAGCAACGAGATGTTTGTGATGAATATGCTCTTCAAGGTATGTTCTATGGCTATGCCTTCAACCTGCTTGCCTTGTCCCCCCCCCCCCCCCCCCGGAGCAGGAGCAACTCGAGACGAAAACCCACCTGGTAAAAGGAAAGGCGATTATATTAGACAATTTGCTAACCCTTTTTTTTTTCTTTTGCAATTCTGGCAGAACTTTATGTTTTATGGCCTCTCTAATTTCGCAAACAACTGGGTCGCGGCGAAGGGTCCCGAGGAAATCGTAAGTCCACACGCGTGTCCCCCTCCCTCTCTCCTCTCCTTTTCTGAGCCTGCCCCTCCAAACTTCAATTGTCTCGGCAAGACCACCGCCCACCACACGTGACCTCCCTTGGAAGGCAACTAGTGTCTTCTCGGTCTGCCGGTGGTGTTGGTGCTGCCTTCTTCCCAGGCTGAATGTTTCCCACACCGGACCGGCCACATAAATACAGCATTTCTGACATCCTTGTGTTTTGCGTAGATGTTCACGTTCGGAGGCACCACCTTGGCTATGTGTCTGCTTGCTGTTCCCGTGTACATGTTCGGGAAGAGGTTGAGGAGCTGGTGGACGAGACACGACCTCTTTGTCTTCTTTGGCATGCAAGCCACGGGACCGGAGAGTCATATGGGTTGACCTCCCCTTTTTTGGGGGAACTTTTTTCTTAGAGGAGAGGGTTGCATGATTCTGAGTCGACCCGCGTCACGGGCTGAGACGGTGTCAACTTGTTTGCAGAGGTGCATCACTATGTATGTACCAAGCCAGAAATCGTGGACAGTTTGGTGTTGATGAGTATATCATGTAGGTATGTATGATGTAAGTAATACTCTAGTAGTCGGTAGGTATGAGATCAAGATACCTACCTATCCAGCCTGGTCGTACAGTTTGGTACTCGGTATCAAGGCCCCTTTTGGTGAACATGAATGGACCCATCCACGCTTGATTGCAGTCTTACCCGCCTGAGAGACTGTGATCAGCACCGCGGAGATTTGTTCCATTAAGGATATGAAAGAACGAGCCCATCAGCGGCTGTATCCTCTCCTCGGGTTGAACAGTCTGATGGTGATGCGTTGATGAGAAACGAGTCCAGTTCGCAGAGCGACATAAAGTCCAGCGTTAAGTACGAGAAAGTCAGATGCAAGATATCATTCTCGGCGATAAGCTCTCCTGCACCTTCAAAGAGAGTCTGAGAGACTTGTCCAGGGAAAAATGTTCACATTGCGTGCTGGTTGTAGGTGGTTTCTTGTCCAGACTGCGAAGCCATGCTCTTCGTTCACGTCTGGGAGGGTGATGGCGACGGGCATTGGTTACTTTGAACAGTGAGTTTGTTCAACCCTCGGGTGATGGGGATACTATTATATCAGCAAGCCGAAGTTCAAGGACAGAGAGTCCCTAGGAGGCGAAAAGGAATGTCAGAGCATCACCCGCTGAGGAACGCAAGAATAAGGACGAATCGAGAGGAAGGAGATGCATTGAGATCAAGGGTGCGTCATCATCAGGCTAAGTCTTATCGTGCGGCTCCCCAGACAGACTTGAGGCATTTATACAATAGGTCTATAGCTTTCTCCGTTTGGTACTCTTTTCACAAGTAGGACAAGTATTGGGTAGGGGAGTACAATTTGTATGAGCAAGAACATCGGATAAACCGGGGTGCTCGCCGGACACCCGGAGCAGTGATGCCAAGCCAGGTCACGAGGGCACCGAAAAGGGGAGCTTGACTTCCACGAAGACTGCGCCCAATGCTCCTTGCTGCTCCGCAGAAGCTCGGGACTGCGGCAACGGCAACCCAAGCGAGCCCTGACTGATCCGTCTGGCGTCCATTGGAGTCGTGGCCTTGGTTTGGTGAATCTGAGCAAAGCTTCGGTTTAAACCTTTTCTCAAGCAGATCTCACAGATAATATCACGCCAGCTTCATTCATCTCTCTCTTCGATTTCAATTCAACACACTCGTCTCGTTGTCTATCTTCTCTCCCCCCTGTTTCCTGGAATCTCTGCTGTTTGTCGTGCCACCATGTCTTTCGCCAGGCAAATGTTTGGACAAGTCCAGCGTCGAGCTTTTTCGGCGTCTGCTCGACAGGTTTGTTCCATCTCCACCATCATACGATGCCTTCTATCAATTGGATATCAAGCTGATGTTTGAGCCCTGCCACAGTCCTCGAAAGTTGCAGTTCTCGGTGCCGCCGGTGGCATCGGTCAGCCCCTGTCGCTGTTGATGAAGCTCAACCCCCGTGTTTCTCAATTAGCCCTCTACGATATCCGCCTGGGTCCAGGTCCGTTCACTGCCAGAGCTTGTATGGCCATAAGAAAAGATGTTGATAAAGACTGCAAAACACAGGTGTCGCTGCTGATATCAGCCACATCAACACCAAGAGCACGGTCAAGGGCTACGACCCAACTCCCTCGGGTCTCCGAGAATGTCTGGAAGGAAGTGACATTATCCTCATTCCTGCGGGCGTTCCCCGAAAGCCTGGGATGACTCGTGATGGTAGGGGGATGACCTAGGCACATCAAAGATGCAGTGACTGACAGTTGTAGATCTGTTCAACACCAATGCTAGCATCGTTCGGGACCTGGCAAAGGCTGCGGCTGATGCTGCGCCCAACGCCAATCTTCTGATCATCTCCAACCCTGTACGAGAGCACGAAGCAGCTCTTCACTGTATAACTAGCATCCCCGTCTAACGTTTCTTGCTAGGTTAACTCGACTGTCCCCATCTGCGCCGAGGTGTTCAAGAGCAAGGGTGTCTACAACCCTAAGCGTCTCTTTGGTGTCACCACCCTCGATATCGTCCGTGCGTCCAAATTCGTCTCGGAACTCAAGGGGACAGACCCGGCCGATGAAAAAATCACCGTTGTCGGCGGACATTCGGGCGTCACCATCGTCCCCCTGATCTCGCAGTCTGGCCACCCCGACATCACTGGTGAGAAGCTTGACGCCTTGATCAACCGAATCCAATTCGGCGGTGATGAAGTCGTCAAGGCCAAGGACGGTGCCGGTTCTGCTACTCTGTCTATGGCTATGGCCGGAGCGCGGTTTGCCGAGAGCTTGCTCAAGGCTTCACAGGGTGAGAAGGGCGTGGTTGAGTGCACGTTCGTGGACAGCCCCTTGTACAAGGACCAAGGCATCGACTTCTTTTCCTCGAAAGTCGAGCTTGGCCCCGACGGGGTCCAGAAGATCCACGAGGTGGGCCGCATCAACAAGTACGAGGAAAATCTGCTGGAGGCAGCCATGGGAGGTGAGTTTTGCCACTACAGACCCCACAAGTGATGCAGCGCTGACGGAGTTTATAGACTTGAAGAAGAACATTCAGAAGGGTGTGGACTTTGTCAAGGCTAACCCATAGACAGCGGGATCGAACCAGGGGGCCTTTTGGAGCTAGCATGTACAAACAGACGACGTTGAAGCTTTCCGGGCGGGGGCTCTTGTGGAAGACAGACGGACAAACATGAGTTGCCCATTCATCGGGCTCTTCTCGTTGGATGCACCTGGAGCCGGGGAGCCCTTTGCAAACGCTAATCAACCACCCGCCTGTTCATGGTGTGCATCTCTTGTTCTTTTTTTTTTTCTTCCGAGGCCTCTCAAATCACGCCGCCAGTATGCGAATCAAGCCCACTGTGCTTTCCTCTGGTGCGCCAAAGTAGACAACCTTGACAATCTTTGTCGATGTGGTGGATGGCCCGAGACTCGGTATCCAATCAGGGGGGCAGCGGCGTGGTGATGGTTTACGAGTTGACAGATCCTGACAGGTCTTGGGGCAGTTGGTCCAAGCTCCCGGACCAGGTTGTAGCATCTCGTGCCAGAAGAGGACGCTCAGATAGACGCAAGACCAGTCCAGGCAAACTGCAGCTGGCAGCTGGGCAGCTGGATGGTCCCAACAGACGGACAGATGGGACAGGGACGGGCACGGCAACAGGTAGGTCTACCTTGCACGCATCACCACTGCAGGCATATTCATACCCCTTCCCGCCCTGCTCTCTGGTTGACCTGGGCCCGTCAACCTTGCCATCACTCTCTTGTTCTGCCTGACCTCGAGATCTGCCCTCGCTGTGAAGTTGGATGTCACAGTTGGGCTGCTACTGGCACCGTTGCCTCGGTTCCCTTGCTGCCCACCAGCCGCCCAGACAATGCCACAACCCCAAACCCAAACTGCCATTTGCCTCGACTGAAAGTTGAACTCGACCTCACCCAATCGCCTCGTTACCGGATCTATCCCATGTCCTGTGGTTGTTGCGGTCCCTGTCCGATATAATCTCGCCCGCCGCACTTCCCCCGCAATTGCCCCCACCACCCCAGCCACGGCCCACGAACTGGCCTGTTGACCCAACTGGTGACAGAACTCCATACCTCGTAATACCCTTCGATTCCCATACACTTTGCCCACCTCAGTTGATCTTCCAACGCATCGGGAACCCATCTGCACACGTCGACCAGGATATGGCTGAGCAGCCAGCGTCCGCTGCCGCCAGGCTCCCTCCGAGACGGGGAGCACGCTATGTCTCCCTTCTTTCGCAGTCCCATATGGCCTCTATACGACGGTGAGGTTCCGGTGGAAGCAAATATCTCGAAGCGAAACCACCCACCACTCCAGATTCGAACCCCAGTCACCTCCAACAGTCCTCCCCCCCTCCCCCCCTCCAAACAAAAAACTCCAAATAATCCGTATTTCCATCATCCCCGAGACAGCCCATAGAGAGCCGGGCCCTGGCCCCTCCTCCTGAGATGGAAGCCCTTCCGCCCCTGATTTCCGTAATCCCTGCCGAGGCCAGAGAGAGTGGAAGAGTACATCGACCAATTGAGAGTTCACGCGGTACCCCCTCAACCCGCCCGGGGCGTTTTGGAACAGGGACGTGCTGCTGGTGATTATGTTATGAACCACGAGCCACCTGCTGCAATCCAAACTCAGCCTGCGCCACCCAAGATTCCATGTTCTGTCTTGAAAAAAAAAAACAAGAAAGGGTGAGCTAGTTGTTTTATATCACTGCAAGTGCACCTATTATCTTACCTGTCTCAACCACGCATTCCAAGTAGGCTGCACGGATCGGGGGTCCTTCCCACCCAAGTGCCACGGGGTCCCTCTTCGCATCTCTGCTTTAGAAAGCGTGCTCGAATATGATGTGATAAAGCGCTACAGAGAGATTGAAGTCGAATTCAGTGCAACCCGGCCTCTTTATTGCGCTGCGCTGAGGTGTTCTACCTTCATCCCAGAAAACGGCCAGCAACCGCAGGAGGCGGGCACCTATCCTCAATGCCAGAAGTCGACATGCAAACTATGCAGTCGGCTCAGAGATAATCACCCCGTTTGGCATATGGATGTGGAGAAGCGCGTGTGTCCTCCCCCGGGGGAAGGTGTCCCCAAACTCTATGAACTGGGGGATGAGAAGGAATGGAAACAGTGTCCTGCTTGTGGGAACATGGTGGAAAAGACCGAGGGCTGTGAGCACTTGGACTGTGTCTGTGGCGTGGATTCCTGCTATCTCTGTGGCACACTTTTCGACTAAAACTGCCGTTATGGATGTAACGAGGAAGCAGATGATGATGACGACGACGACGACGATGAGTATGATGATTACGATAACCAAGTTCTTGGCCAGCTGTCGATACCCGCGGCGTCAATCAGGCATCCGCTCGTCATTGTTTTCACCGGGGCGGCGTCCTCTTGCGTGGCACCGCGTCAACATGTCAGATGTGCTTGAGGGTGGATAGGCTGTGGGAGTGTTATGACTGTCGGTCTCAGATGTGTAATTTATGTATAGAAAGAGTGCACGAGATGGTGCAACGCGCGTGGCAAGCTCAAACGGGCCGCCATTTCTACGAGTTATTTCAGAGAGGACAAGCGGGCTGGCTGGCGCCTTGATGATTAGGCAGCGCGGCATCTGAGATTGCAGCTTGTTTTGAAACTGCAACGGGTGGCAAAAGTCACACTAGCCAGCGGCGGAAGCAAAGGCTTGGGCTTTGTAGGTCTAAACAGAGATCCATCCCATGCTGAGAGGTTTATCTCCTATCTTGTCTTTTCTGTCGGCCACGGAGCTTCTCTCCCCCCCACCTCCCTTCTCTCTCTGTATTTTGTGTTGAACAGAGAACAGCATGACGGGATGTCCATCATGGATTGGGCGGACTGGACGAATTCGACCGCACGCAAGTCAATGGGAATGGCAATAGCAACGGCGACGGCAGCGGCAAGGGTACTATCTCGAAATGCCACGGCGGAACCTACAGGAGGCATACCCGTGGGAACGGTATGTGCGCTTTGAATTGAGCTGGAATGGACCTGAGGTTGTATTGGATTGTATTGAAGTGGATTGACGGCGGCATCTTTGATGATGTATTTTGACGTGGGTACCTACCAAATTTACATGCATACATCCATAAATACAGCCAAAGGGGACAAGTATATGTACTTGATAATAGTGACTACAGAGAGAGACGAGGATCGGATGGACTATAATGGTTGTACGGCTACCTGACTTGCTGGTTAGGTTAGGTTTGGTTAGGTTAGAGAGTAATTGTTGTTTCGGTTTTACCATGCAATATAATATGTACCCAGGTACGCATGCATATGGTCCTTGTGCAGCCTGTCCAGCCTATTATTCATCCTATTCGTCCCCGTCAGGGTTTGGCCCCTCCAATCTTTGCTCGCTCTTTGCCTTTCCTGTCCCTTCCTTCGAGATAGGTTTGGCTTTCGCTTTGGCGTTTTCATATTCATTCCGGGTCCGCAATCTTGAGGATACTCTTGCCTAGGTTCTCGCCGCGGAGCATGCCGAGGAACCCTTCGACGGCGTGGTCCATGCCCTCTGTGACAAAGTCGACGCTCTTGAAACTGCCGTCCTGGATCCAGCGTGTGACGTTTGCGTCCCTTTCGGCGCGCCACTGCACGATATTGGGGTCAAAGACCAAGAACCCCTGCCAGCGCAGCCTCTTGCGCACCATGGCGGCGTAGTTTTTAATGCCGTAGGGGGTCGTGTCCTTGGCGTTGTTGTAGGTCGAGATGGAGCCGCACGCTACAATGCGGCCGAATTCCTTCATGTTGGCCAAGGCCACGTCCAAAAGCTCGCCGCCGACGTTGTCGTAGAAGATGTCCAAGCCTCCGGGTGCCAGACGCTTCACCGCCTCGGCCATGGATTCTTTCTTGTAATTGAACCCCGAAGTGAAGTGCAGGTCGTTCAGGATGAAGTCGAGCTTGCGGTCGTCGCCGACTGAGCCGATAACCTGTTGTATTATATTTTTTTTCTTGGTTATTCTTCTTGGCTTGGGTGCATTCGTGCTTGTTCGGGTGTTTGTCGAGGCAGGAAACAGGAACAGGGGAGCAACAGAACTTACGTGTAGACCTTCTCGCACCGCGATCTGCCCGACCATCTGGCCCACCGCACCGGCAGCAGCGCTGATGAGGATGACATCGCCTTTCTTCGGCTGACCGATCTCGTGCAAGGAGCCGTAGGCCGTCATGCCCGTCATACCCAACAGGCCCAGGTATGCGGTCAAGGGCACGCCTTCCTTTGGCTCGATAATCTGCGTCGTGGCCACGGCCGATTCCTCCTTGGCCGAGTACGACTCGGTGCCGGAGCTCTGCATCATGACAATGGCGCCCGGCTGGATCTTGGGATTGTCGCTCTTCAGCACCTTGCCGATGACGCTGACACTCACCACGGGTTTGCCTGTCGTCATGGCCGGCGAGTACGACGGGATGCTCGGGTCGCGCATCCGCCCGCGCTGGCTGGGGTCGTAGGCCGCATAGAAGTTCTTGGTGGTAAAGCCGCCTTTGGGTGGGGGCGCGGTGTCATCAAAGCCAATGTCTTCCACCGTCAGGTCTTTGCCTGGGACGGGCCAGCCGTTGGGCACGGCCTTTTCGGGGAATGTGTGGTTAGTTGGGATGTGTGCCAGGCCACTGGAATTTTCCCCCCTCTCTCCTTTAAAAAGGAGGAAAACGAATGTTACGCACCTTATAGATGAAGGCTTTGTTCTGAACCATTTTGTGAGTGAGGCGGATGGAGGGGGAGTAGAACCTAGAGAGATGGAAGAAGGTAGCGGGTTCTACTATGTGTTGTTGTTCGTAAGAAGTTTCCTACTGCCCTTGAGAAGATGGTCGTCATAATATACGATCCATAAAGAGTATAAGTCCCTACTTTTGCTTCGGAGAGGGCCTCGAATTCTGGCTAATGGTGACGGGAACGGGTATCGCCAACCAGTTTAATGCGGTAAGCGCCACCATCAAGGTCAAAGGCTAGCTAGTTTGCCTCGGTAGATGTGTTGAATGGATGCATTGATTGTTAATACAAGTGAAGTTAATCCCAGGGTGCATAAGTAATCGAATATTTGATAACCCTCTGCATCTGCTGCAGCCAGTGA